CCTTGCCACCTCCGTCCCGTTCCTACGGCGAGAGAGAGAGAGAGAGAGAGGGAATGTTTCTACGTTCCTCCTTCGACAAATTGATTCTGAAGAGAGAGGGAGAGAGACTTGAGATTTTTTACCAGTTTTACGGAAGGAGAAGAATAGGATTTTCTTTTTTATCATAGCGTGGTTTTATCGAGGATTCTATCTGGATGGAAAAAAGGAATGAATGGAATTGGTACGGTTGTGTCGGTTGCATTCGATAGACGCGTCTGAAGGGAGGGTAATAATTAGAGTGGTGGGCGGGGTTGCTCGAAAATGGGGTAAATGAAAGTTAACCTGGAATTACGTGATCGTGATATGTTATTTCTTTAATTAATGTAATAACGTATATTTGACGACCGGATGCACGCTACGCACAAGGGTTGAAACCTCGGATCGGTTCACGCAACTACCCTCCGCTTCGCCCCACGATCTGTCCGCGTATTCTTCTAAAATCGTTTAATCCAGGGAGGGAAAAGCGAGGACGAGTTTAAAAAAAAGAATTTGAAATCGACTATGTTGCTCTCTTAAATTACAAAAAGCGAAATCAATGATTTACGATATTTTGCCGGTACTCGAGAAAATTCATACTATTTACGTGGGGGAAAATATTAAATAACTCAGGAGGATGGAAATTATTTTCATCGGTTTAGTTCTAAAAACGGGTAATTCTAAAAACAGGCATACCGTTACCGAATTCCCCGGGCATAAAATTGCTAGTAGTAGTAGTAGTAGTAGTAGTAGTAGTAGTGGTGGTGGTGGTGGTGGTGGTGGTCCTTATGAATTCATGCATGCAATTCGAAAGAAAGAAAAGTATAACAAAAACGGGTAGGGCTGTTTCAAAATTCTCTGCATGATGCTCGCCGGTCCTTGAATATTTCAAGGAATAAGTGTATGACGGAAATATGAACGTACAAGTACCGGTTCCGCACAATATACAAAATGCCTGTACGCCGGCATACTTGATTCTCACTGAAATTTACCATTCTAATCGAAACCGTCGATGCGATACTGAAACATCCTCCGCGATTATTCCATCGTACTCGGAAGAATTATAATCGTTTCACGTCGAATTTTTCATTTCTGTCGACCCGCACGATCAGTTGAAAATATTATTTATTGAAGATAAACAGGGTTTTTGGAATTTTTTACTCGCGAATCGGGAAAAATTGGTAAAGTTGCAAAAATTGGACGGCGCAAAAAGCGTGACCGTTAAATGGTGGAGCGTGGAATTAAAAAAAAAAAAAAAGGGAAAAAGTAAAAAAAAAAAAAAATAAGGAATTTAGCAAGGGAAAAAATTTGAATAAAATTCGTACATAAAATGTTCTGTTATCGCAACAGCGTTAGATCCGTTTTCGATTTAAACCTGACGATGGCTCGCGCGACTGTCATTTTTCCACACACGGTCCTTTCACGCACACGGCGCATCCCCTCTCGCTCCCGCTCACTCGATTTCTCATTTATTCAAGCGTCGTTCATTCACCTGCTCGTGAATAAAAAACTCGAGTAAAGAGTTCCCCGCCATTTTCGTCAACGACAGATTACATTCACCGCGCAAATCTCTACTCTTTACCGCCCACAATAAGAAGAGGAGTCGACGTAAAACGTCTATAAAACGATTACAACGTCGCTCGATTCGATTTTAACAGTTCGTCGACCACTCTTTTAAATATTTAAAATATTTTTTTCTTATGAATATATGTGTGTGTGTGTGTGTGTGTGTGTGTGTGTGTGTCGACGATTCGAGGAAAAGGATACATACATTCACTCCCGATACATCTCTTCTTCGGGAAGAAATAATCACCCGTGGAACTGCGCCATTATAATGCAACACTTTAATGGACCGATATTCTTGCCAAGTTTCGTCGTGGCAACTTCGTTCGCAAGTTCAAAACTGATCAAAGTCCTAAGATTTGTCCATTAGAAGACTTTGTCCCCTTCCGGCCTGGAATCGGATTTTAAAAGTTTAGTTTTTTAAGAGATGAGAAAAAGTTTCGATTTCTAACGCAAAATCGACTTTTAACGCAAAATATTTCCTTCGAAGTTTAACCATTCATAATCGGCCCTCGGAATAATTTAATTTCCGAAAATTTGTTAATTAAACGATGCATACGAGCCACGATCTTATTAATTTCAAGTGTGATTTCTGGTCAATGGAACCGCAACGCAATAAACTATTTCTCAGCGGCACGAAGCACGAGTGAAATAAATGAGCCTAATCCCAAGAGAATACAATATCTATATGGAACATCGATAAATATTTAGTCGATGGATCGACGATACGCGATTCTATCGATTATTATTCCCCCCCCCCCTTCGCTTTTCATAATTACGACCGATGACATTTGTAAGGAATCAATTTTACCAAAACCCCCCTCTCAAAGAAGCTGAACCTCGAACTTTAACCCCTCGAAAAGAAAAGAAAAACAATCGAGAACGATCGATCGGTGCAACTTTCTAAATTTCCTGACCTAAATCCTCCGGAACTTTTATGAAGACGCTTAAAGAGGTCGGCGTGCTCATTCCCGATAAATGATTTGGCAAGGCTACAATTGGCTGCGGAGAAGAAGTCTATACGACAAATCTCCTTTCCAACGAGATAAAAAAAGAAAAAAAAACAAAAAAAAAAAGTACGTCACGCACAAATAAAAGCCTGCGAACGATCGAGCAAACGAGCGATAACAATATCGTTTGATTCTCTACGATTTGCATAAAAAGCAAATCGTAGAGAATATACTTGTCTGTGAAAAAGAGGAGGAAAAAAAAGCCCAAACTCGATCTGCGCATCTATCAAACCCCATCAATATTCCGCGTGACGAACAGTAGGTCTGGACGAGCGGAGGTACAGAAGAACGTCCCCGCCGGAAAATTGGTTTACAGGTTTGGCCGGGATCGCGGCGGTCATCACTCGATATATCCATAGCCGGATATATCATATCGCATCGTTCCACGCGCGCGTGTACAATCATCATCCACCTCCCAGTGGTTGGGCCTGCCCCGTTGAAAATCTATGAAAACCCATGGCCAAGTTCCATCCGCCCGACGACCGTTGCAATATTAACAAGCCGTACAAATCACCGTGGCTCAATTCCACGGTTAAATCCACCGGCATAGGCCATAGATTACAGCAATTGAGGCCGGAAGATAGGAGTGGGTGGATGGAAGGGAGGGTGGAAAAGGAAGAGAAGGATAACGGCGAGGGTGGAAGGAAGACGATGGAGGGAGGGGGAGAAGACGAAAAGAATCGGGGAGGGGGAGGGGAGGGGGGAGAACGGCGTGGCGGCACGGCGCGAGGAAACGTAGGACCACGTACAATACAAGAGGGGCGCGATCGCGTGGATAGCGAAGGAAACCCATACATCCTCGGCCGCCCCACGCGCACGTGTGCATCCCTCCCCCGCTTTCACGTGTACGTGTGCACGATCCGGGACACGGGGGGAGGAGGGGAGGCCCACACCGACGCATAGATTGCATACTTATGCCGGCACTGTGCACATAAAGTTAGGGCGGCGCGCGCTCTCCTTCGCTGCCGCACAAGAATAAGAAACACGGTAGCATACATAAACAAGGAGGTTGGGGATGCAGCAATTTAAAACGTACCCCGGAATTCCTCCCAACGGGGTCGTAGAGCGGCCCTCTATATTACGAATTCCTCCCTCCCTCCCTCCCTCCTCTGAGAACGGCCGCCCCTCACCTTTGCCTCCCTATACCTCTCGCCGCTGCCCGCGTCCTCTTGCATCTTACTACGGGAATTTCGGTCGTATAAAGTGGGACTATGGAGCAGCCGGTATGTGTGTGTGTGTGTGTGTGTATTAACGGCCACGGGAATCGAAACACATCCCCGTCCAGATAGAAAAGTTTTTGCGATTTTATCCTTAGGACGAACGAAATCTCTACACCTTTTCTTTCTCTCTCTCTCTCTCTTCTTCGTTTTACTCGATTATTTCAATAATTCTGATTAGATCAAATTCGACGAAAAATTTCGATCGAAGAGGAAAATCGTCAATCCGACCGCTGTCAAGAAACTTGGAAGCCGCGTGTATCGTCGCGAGGAAGGGGGGAGGCAAAGTTTCGGCGAGAATGGGTAATCAGTTTCTTTCCTGATGGCTTAAGTAACAACGAGCGCGTCCCAAAGTTTCGAGGAGGGGAGAAGACTTAATCAGGCCGGTCTCTCTCCCCCTCCCTCGAAAACTTATCCCGGATGCACAAGTTGGGAATCCTTGCGGGTTTAATGCCTATTATGCAGATCAGCGCTCGGCCAACGAATAAGTCAAATACGGTTAACAATGGGGAATCGGCAAGTTGGTCGATCGTGGAGGAGAATCGAGAGCGATTGGCTGTTTGAACGGCGGAGAGACGGAAGCGGCCGGGGCGGAGGAGGCGGTGTGTCGCCTCGGGCGGCTCTGTTTGCAGACATAAGGGAGCCCCGGGGTTGAACGGCGCGCGAGTCGGGGGAGTTCAATTGGTGGCGGCAATCCTGGTAATGTACCCGTGGGGCTCTGTCAAAGTGCTTTCCAGAAGAGAGCCGATGTTGCATTCGGCAAAGTTCATTCTTGCCGGAAGTGGCGGCCCAAACACAGTTGCATCCTCCCCCCCGGATGCGAGGACGGAGCCTGTTCGATCTCTTCGAAGTACGGGGTGGGACGAACAAACAAGGGGAGAGATCAGAGGTGAATTGTCAAAAGTTGTCGAGCTTAAGAAAGAACAATTTCGGTGAGAGCTTTTCATTCCCGTTTCCTCTTCTTATCCCTTCCTCCTCCGGTCCGGTGCGAAGTAACAACTCTCCTCTCGAAAGTTAGAATGGAAGAAATATTCGCGACGAAGGGATCAAACTTTCCGCCTTGAAATTAATATATCTGCGAGAGAAGATTGTGGCCGGCATCGGGAGTTCGTGGGGAGGGAAAGTAGGATAAAAGTAGTTTCCTTTAAATAAGAGGAGGACGAGATATAATTGGCCGTTTATCGGAAGAAAACTTAACGGGGGACTCTAACGAGAGGCCGTGAATCGTCTATTTACTTTTTATCAAAAGGGATGGGGGAGTCGCTTCGATAGTTGTTCGCCTGTTTTCACACCTTCATGCCTGGGGACTCGAGTTTAAAAACGGAGGGTTAAATAATGTATATCACAGCGGCAAGATCGGGCGGTAAAACAGTTATAAAAACACGGGCAACTACGTTAAGATCAATTATTTAAGATGTACAGCTCCGTAAAGAGAGAGTAGACCAGTCGTAAAGGGGGCGGAAGAAAGTAACGCTTCTAGGACGAACCGGAAGGAAGGGGGAGGTAAAGGGGTGGGGAGGGAAGGTGGCCATCGCGGGAGTTATAAAGGTTGCAGTTAAAAAGTTGCTTGAATTATCAAGGGACATACTGGTTCGAGACGATGCCGACCGTTATTTTTGAGCTGTTGCGTATCGGAATTTGCACGTGAAAGCTCGCGCCATTTTGGCCACGCTGATGAAATTGTCGGATGGAGAAAAATCCGATATCCATTATTTCCGTTTCGATGGATGATGGTACAAACTTTTCCAACTTTTTATCATTCTTCTATCGAATAATTACGCGTATCGATGATAAAATTTCGACTCGTGCAACGACCTTTCAATCAGGCGGCCTTTCGTACTCGTCTCGTATTCGAAATTAATCGTAATGGAATTTGTAATCTCCGTTCATTTCGAATTAATTGTATTCTTTCGCATTACCAAAATCATTGTTACTCAACGATTCGATAATAATCATTTTAATTGAATATTAGTCGATGAAAATTTATCGATTTTTATAATATATAGAAAGCTAAATATAGACGATCACGGAAATAGTTTAAAGTTGTAAAATGTCTCGAGTCGATTTCGTGAATTTTGAAACGTTTGTTCTTTTTTTTTTTTTTATTAATTGTGCTTTTTAAATTGCCAACTTCGAGTGAAAATTATTCGACAGATATTTTTGTCGTGATGTAAATAGTAAACACTAAAGGATAATATAAATGTAATATATATGGCTGCCGATTTTGCCGATGAGGAATTCGTTAAAGAGGATACGAACGACTACGATATTATAATTATAGGAGGAGGTTTAGCTGGTCTTACATGCGCGTACACTATTCTGAGTAAAGTTGGGTTAGATATATTAATCATCGAAGCGAATGGTAAATACTTTTCCAAAAATAGGAGAAAATTATATTATGATGATGAAATTTTTAGACTATATATTCGAATTAAAATTTCTCTGAATGAATATCTTTCTTTTTTTATACGATTTATATCCAAAATCATAGGTGACGTAGGAGGTCGAATTTTATCGAAAAAATTTTGCACTTCTTATCATGCTAATTCCTCGCAAAAACATATTACCAATTTATTGAACACGTTGCACATAAAAATTATGGAAAGATCGCATAAGGAGAGGAAGGATCGAATATTGTACACGAGAGGAAAACCTTATAAAATTTTACCTAAATTTTTTGGAGCCGAGGTTCACAATTTTTTCCAAAGGGTATGTAATGTAAATTGGCATATTTATGACGAATAATTCCGCGCCATTTTGAAAAAGGAGTATATTTCGATAAATATTTATCGCGATCAAGAAATTTAAACATTCGATATTCATTGGCACACGCGTCTGCATTTTTATCAAATGATAAAATCGATTAAAAGTATTTTATCCTAGTATCGCAATTATTATTTCCGTTCATCCTTTCAGATCGAAGAAAATTCATCAAACATAAGATTTAGTAATTACTTCAAAACCGAAGAAGCAGAGAATCTCGCCGTGACAAGCGTTGAACAATTGCTCCGTCAAATCGTTCTCTTTCCCTACGTGCGATCACTGTGCCGGGCGTATATATGCACTACCTGCGGTAACCTAATTTTTATCGATAAAAATCTTTTTTATTGATTTTTCTTTCGCGTAACCGTGAAAAAATATCGTGAAACATTTCCTCCTGTAAAATTGTTTTAAACAGCTATGCGAAATCTCAATGATATCTCGGCACTTTGGTTCTTCGTCATGTTGTACGGTGCATCGGGTTTCTCCAATCGATTGAAGATCATGATAGGCGACAATAATCAATATTTCGTACAAGTATAGTCGCGCGAAGAATTCACGGTAAAAAAAAAAAAAAATTATTGATTGCGTTATATCCGTTGTATTGCAACAGGGTGGCATGTCTAAAGTTACGCATACGCTGTTAAAACGTATTTTACAAGAAGAAGGTGAAATAAAATACGTTGAACCAGTTAGCAAGATCATGTTCAACGATGTTCGAGCTTACGTGTTCACGGAAAAAAATTATTTCAGGTATTGTTATATACATCTTTTCGTTGATAAAGAAAACTAAATGTATAGAATATGTGTATATACACGTGAAACTTACGATAGAAAAAATTGTTTGCAGATGCGAATTAGCAGTTATTGCAATACCTCCATCGATGATGGACCGTATCACTATCGAGCCATCGATATACACGAAAACGTTGTACGCGCCGGCTGACAATGTATTTTTCAATGTAACGTACAAGAAACCGTTTTGGACCGACAATTCCATAAAGGATATCCTAACCACGTGGGATTTTGGCAATAATTTAAACTTCGTCTACGACACGTCGCACGAGCACAACAATAAAGTTGTTCTAACTGGATTCCTCGCTGAATCTCATTTCACGCAGACGCGCAAGAAATGCCTGTTCACCACGTTGGACGATTGTTACAATTCCACCAACGCTTCCAATTATTTACGATACAAAGAATACGATCCTTCGTTGGTAAACGATCAAGTGACGTTCGGTTGTCCGATGAGCACGCTGAGACCCACCTCGTTCGACGATCACCTGCACAAAGAGGAATCTTACGACAGGTGAGCGTGAAAATTATTAAATTATTCGCGCTGCATTGTTTATTTAACGAGATTATTCCTTGCCGAAAGGATTTTATTTACTTCGAGCGAATACGCTAAGAATTGGCCCGGCACGATAGACGGTGCGATCCAAGCGGGTGAAAGAACAGCTTTCGAGGTTTTATTGCGAATTAGGCCGCAAGTACTTTCTTTCCGTGATATGACTACTCTAGGGTAAATACTCTAGATTTGTACAAGTAACGATTAACAAATTAAATTACCAGATTAAAAAAATTCCGTTTCTCTGTTTTTTTAATTTTTTTCCTTTTTTCTTTTTTTTTTTTCTTTTCTTTCTTTTTTTTTAGTGAGATGATTAACATAAAAACAATAACAAGACATCGGACCTATTCCTGGAAAATATACACCGTACAATATCTTGGGATAATACTTCACGTTGCTATTTTCTTATCATTTTTAAGAGTGGCTTACGACTGAAATACACAACAAAGTTCATTAATATTAAGTTGTAAGAGAGAGAATTTTAAATTTAATAATAAAAGTTCCACGGACGCATCGATTTCAAGAATTATTTTTTTACGATATTAAAAAATTCGTTTACAATTCGAAAATTTAGCTATGAGAAATCCCATATAGAGATAGACAATTTTGACAAGCGCTTGACTAAACAGAAACACACGTATATATATATATATATATATGTTATAAATATATAAACGTTAAATGTGACCCCTAACGAGAAAATATAGATAGCTAGAATCGGTAGATATCAAACAGTTCCACAGCTCTTCCTCCTTCCGTTAACATCTCCGATTCAAACTACAACGTACGGTATTTCGGATATATTTATTAATTGTGTAAAACGTGTGAAAAACGAACTAATCTATCCTGATCTATTTAGTAATTAGAACAGTATATATTACAATCGAGAATGTTCGATGACACGAGCGAGGATGAAACGGGATTGCAGACGCCAATAGTGCTGAGGAAAGGATCACGATGCAGTCGTGATTCAGGTAATTACATTGGTATCGATTATTGACTTGTGTATTATTCTTCTTTCTTTCTCGATTG